CACGAAAACAAGTGTTATGTACTGCAGGAAACATAGAATGGAGGTGGAGCTGAATGTAATACCAACGAGTGATAAGTTTCAAGGCGGTTTCACTGATTGAGATAGATTTTGTACACTTGCAGAGATTTTGTTAACATAACATTCCAGTCTTGATCTGATAGTGGCAGTTGCACTCCTCTTCCCATTTAGTGAAATAGAGTGGATTTTTTAGAGGTACAGGAACCCAAAAGTTGTTTATACAGTAAAGTCAGCAGATAATACCCTTACCTTTGGGGGAGCTATTACATATATGTTCATATTCAGTAGGGATAAATACAGAGGAACGAGCCGTTGGGAATGTGGACGTAAAAAAAAATCTATGATCTGAAGGTATCTAAAACATTCTTGTCTCGGGGCTTGATATTGTTGTTACCATTGTGAAAAAGTGGTAAAGGTAGAGTGTGTGTGAAGGGACTTGAGGGTGATAAGGGAATTAGAGATGCATCACTGAAATTCAGCGGGGTTGGGGAATGCAGCGATAAAAGTGGGCTCACCTAAATAAGATGCAGTTGGTGGGGATTGTGAGATTAGGTTGTTATTTAATCTGTGTGACAATAGAGTTCAACTGTATGGGATCGATTCAGACCTCAATAAACCTGTGAGATGGTATGGCAGGATAGAGGCCGCTTCAGATTTAATCCAGGGCACTTTGGAATTTGGAATGTTCCATGGAGCCGTCTGGGCCAATCTGACAGATAAGTAGTATAACCAAAAATTAGGGAGGCCCAAGCCACCCGCTGCATGTGGGTGGTACAAGGTATTTGCTGAGTATTTAGCTCTTCTATTGGACCAGATAAATGTATTAATATCAGATTGTAGTGCATCCAAAAACATTTTACGAAGTGATTGGAAGCGCTCTGAAAAGATAAAGTATCTTTGGGAGAACATTCATTTTAATAGCTACTACTATGCCTAAAATGAAATGTTATAGGCGGACCAAATTTTCAACATAGCGCGGAATTTGGATACCAAATATAAATAGTTATATTGAAACGTTTTCGAAAAATCTGATGTGAGGGAAAAAATCCAAATACAAGATGGCTTCTAGGGACTATGTGAAATAAAAGGAGGCACAGAGAATGTCGCACATGTATTTATTTTAAGGTGATTGGCCAGTATGGTGTACGACTAACACATTTACTTCACTTTATCTACACATAACCACAAACTGTAGCTGCAGTCAGACATATCATGTCATGCATTCCTTAACAGACAATGGCAGCTTGCTGCCTATACACTTGATTAGACAGCGTATGACTTAAGCCAAAGTGACTTCTTTAGCTTTTTATGTCAACTTTACATGTCTAAACTTTGCCCTTTAGCCAAATGAAATAAAGTAAGCATGACATTAGGAATTGTTGTACTGGTTAACCCCCTAGGTTTGTTTAAATAGCATGACTGCTATTCTTTGCTTGTCACAATTGTCAGGTCAGAATGAGACACGGATATATTTTATGCAACATGTAGTAGTACTTGAATGCCAGAATATATGTAAATAATAAATGCTGATGTTGGTATGTGGCACAAATTAAATGCTGAAGCTTGCAGTTCCCATAAATATGTAGTTGAAAAATGTGCTTCTGCTTAGCTATGTAGGAAAACTGGGTAAAAGAAGTCTCAGATTCTGTATCAGTCTCTAATGTAAAGTTTGTGTCTAGGAATAATCCCCTTTTGGATATATCAGGTTTTATCTGATGCACCAGTTTGAGACTTCAGTGGCGAAATAAACTATCTTGCGATGACTGAAACAGAATGCCGTAAAAACTGGTAGGTTGGCTTCTGGGGTAGACTCAGGACATTCTATAGGATTTATAAATTCCTATGGGGACTGCAGTCTTCTTGGAATTTGCCATAGAGAATGAAGTATGGGTCAGGGAGAGTTAAGCATGGACTTGTCCTCTGTACTTGATTTGATTCCCATTTGGGCCAAGTGAGGTGGTTAAGATTTTTATTACTTAGATCATTCAACAAAATTCCCAGTACACCATATGTGAACATTTGTGCTATTCTTATCCCAGATATTGTCTGTCTATTTATTCACATCACCAACAAATCCCCTAAAATGATATTTGAAGGTGTATCAAATCTGCACATTAAAAATATTAAAGCACATGTGAACTCTTAGTTTTCGAAGGCAGAATGCATCATAAGAAAATATCATATGTGTTTCTTTTTCTTTCATAAAATACGGTTTTCACCTTTTTATTTTAACTGTTTAGTGCAGGACTTGTATTTATAGACCATTAGTAGCCTGCATATAACCCATTATCTAAGAATACAAGTTCTGTGTCATGTACTGTACTCCAAGATAGGGAATTTATAGGTTAGTTAAAATTCCCATCATCTTATTTGTACAGGACTTCAAAGACCATGGATAATATGCAGACTACCTATGGTCTAGGAATACAAGTGACATGTAATAATCCAGGATTTTATAGGTAATTTTAACATTTGCGTTTTTTCTTGTTCAATTTTTAAATTAAAGGTTCAACACACATACATGGCTTGGTGGACTATGAGATTTGTGAGGGTAGCCCAATAAGTCAGTTAAGAAAAGGAAGAGAAAAGAATGGGGGAGAAAAAATGGAATGGGATGGGGCAGAAGAGAGAAAGCAGTTGGAGCTAGAGAGGTGTAGTACCCCTCCCCCACTGATGAGGTGATTGAGGTATCATGTTAAAAATATAATGCTCTCAGTTTAGGTGGGTGTGTGAGATCCAAGGGGACCAGACTTTCAGGAATTTTTCATATTTATCTGAAGAAATTGCTGACAGCTTCTCACTTATCATGGTGACATTTAGTAGGGAAAGCCGAGAATTTCTAGTTCTATGCAGGGGATTTCCATGATTGAGAAATCATTGTTTTCTCTTGGTGTCAGGAAAACTTGTCACAAGTGACTCATGCTGATATAGGGATCACTATGATCCTTACTGAGTCACATATATATAATGGTAAACTAAGGATTGCTGTATACTCCATTTTGTCTCATCAAAATGTTTTTTATAACATCATATATTTCAGGTTGTTCATTCCAAAGACATATCTTGATTGGAATTGTGCCATTAGGCATGTGTGATGGAGGGGTAGGATGGGTATAGTGTTTGCTTTCATCATATAAGCAGAGGATTCGATGAAAGACAGAATGCAAAAAGGGCAGACACTGTATTCCCCGTATATACATATATGCTCATTAAATATAATTTGGAGCCTTATCTCGTCTGAAAATAATTATTCAAGTCTCCTCCAAGTAAGAGGGACTTGGGCTGGAGGTGCAATCCTGCCTACACAGTACACAATATAGAGGTATATGCTTTGTTCATATTTCATGTTTGAGGTTTACAACCACTTTAAGGTATAGACTCTGATCCAGAGTCTCCAAACCTTTGGACATGTCCACCAAATGTGAAGCAATGTGTGTACCTTCGTGACCACATTTTCGCAAGTATAATGGAGAGTATTGAGGTACATTTTTAGCAATTCTAGAGGGTGTGAAGTAGCACCTTAAAAATATATAGAAATTTTCTATAGCTAAAATGTTAAAGGCGGTTTTTGTGGTAGCTGTCCATATTTAAAATTCAAATTTTTTCATCCTTTGTTATTTCTCAGTGATGCTGATTTTCTGCAGTCTGTTTACAGCCCCTTCCTATATACATGCATGTACTCGAGCAATTGCTACATGTCATTTATCGGGGCAGGATTCTTGATGGTGACAATAATGGGACATGCCTTCTGTGCTTTGTCACAGCCACTTGCTTAAATTGGGCAACAGAGAGACTTTATAGGAGAACAGTTGGGAGGAGGACAGAGACTTTTCACCCTGTAGCAGGATGTTCTGCACAAAAAACCCTCATGGCAGGATCACCAAGTATTATTTATTGCACCCTTACTTAACATTTATAACTCAGGGGAACCCTTAAAATAATAAATGTATAGCTAAACTGGTTGTCAGTGGGAGAACAACTCTGTCATATTGGTGATCAGTGGGAAAAGGAGCCTCTTACAGTGGTGTTAACCACTTGCCCTTCCTGACCAGTCCATTTTTTGCATTACGGCGCTGCGGTACTTTAACTGACAATTGCGCAGTCATGCAACGCTGCAGCCAAGTGAAATTTACGGCCTTTTTTCCCCACAAATTGAGCTTTCTTTCTGTGGTATTTGATCGCCTGTGCATTTTTTATTTTTTGCGCTACAAAAAAAAAAAGACCGACAATTTTGAGAAAAAAATATATTTTTGACTTTTTGCTATTAAACATGTCCAGTAAAAAAAATTTAAAAAATCAAATTTCGTCATAAATTTACGCCAAAATGTATTTTGCTACTTTTTTTCTAGTAATGGCGGTGATCAGCGACTTATAGCGGGACTGCAGCGGACATTCTGACACTGGGGGGAACTGACCTGGTGTCACTGACATCCCCATTGACACCAATACAGTGATCGGAGCTAAAAAAAAAAAAAGCACTGACAATGTACTAATGGCACTGGGCAGGAAGGGGTTAACATGAGGGGTGATCAAATGGTTAACTGTGTTAGGAGTATTTTACTAAGGGGCGGCGTCAGTGTGCTTCATGGCAGTGCGGGTAGGGCGCGTGCGTGGCTCACACGTGCCCCTTGCCAAGAAATGCAAAATCACGTATATATACACGTGATTTTGCACATCCGTGCCACCCTGTAGCAGTATTTCTACTATAGGGCGGTCAGGAAGCGGTTAAGTGAAAAACTTGCTCCTTTACATTTGTCGTCAGTGGGAGAAAGATCCCCTTACGTTGTTGGTCTGTGAGAAGTTTGCCTCCTATTCAAATCCTATTCAAAAAGTGTCAGTGGTCATTTATATAAGAGGTAGAAATTATTAATTGCTCATGGAACCCATACCAACCTCTGGATGAACCCTAGAATTCCACAGAATTTAGTGACTGAATTTACGTACACTTTAATTATCTTTTTCCTCTCTGCTTTTTTTTTTAGGGAAGCCATAGAGTAATTGAAGATCCAAATGACTTACGACATGATATAGAGAGGAGGCGGAAACAGAGACTACACAGTGAACATAATGGTAGTGCGGATACTAGCTATGGTAACAGGTTAGTCTTATCTATGTACAAATAACTTAAAGGATAAGTTCATTTAAAAAAAAAATAATAATAAATGCCCATTTTTTTTGTTGCAGGTAAAAAAAATATGCATGTATTATGTTTTTTTTTTTTTGAGCCTGAAAAGCATTGCACCAGCGATAAGCAGATCACTGGTGCCATGCAGGACACCTGCAGACCTGTCAGTGTATCTGTGTGCTCGTACCTTCTATGGGCAAGCAGATACACTGTGACAGGAAGAATCAGTGAACTACCACAGTGTTTAACAGCACCGTGGTAGTTCATTGAGAACTACAAGCTAACAGCCACAAAGGCTGACTGGACTTGTAGTTTATTCATTCACAGAACTCTGTGTATGAATGACGCAGCCATGTTGGCAGAGCTCGCATAGCCATGCTGTTTTCAAAAAGTGACAGCTGTTACGGGGAGCTTCTCCACATACTGCTGTCACAGGGAGAGAGGACAGCGGGCGGCGGCTGCAGCAGTGGGAATGTGTTACCCTAAAAACGCTCCCAAAGGTGAACTTATTCTTTAATCTTGAGGATTGTTCACATTTGTTACATAACCCTCATCTAATTCACTTTTGTAACATTTACGTGTTATTTTGTATTGCTTCTTACATTTTATGGAGGCACTCTAAAATATATATATATATATAATTTTTTTTTTACTCCCAGTATTTCTATATGAGGCACAGCAGAGCCTTCCTAAAGGGTAAGTTCACCTTTTTGTTTCTAAACTCCAGCTCCCCTATGTACCAATATAGCATTAATGTACTTATTTTGCATTAATTGAAAAGCTTTCCATTTTTTTCTACCCACCTTTATGTCAGTGTCCAGATGGATGTACAAACAAGCTTTTCTATTACTTCTGCCTTATTTCCTGCAGAGACCTTAGGTCATAACACTGGAAGGAGTTGACCAGCTGACCTCATGAAAAGCAATCAATCAGTGATCACTGTTCTCACTAAATACACAGACATTGATTTTTACTTTACTACCTTAACTTTCATCTTGCATAGATCATTCATTTGGCATAGTGTGCTGAGTGAATAGATAACAGCCTATGTGGACAGAACTGTAGTATTGAGGAGAATTGTGTTCTGGGTTCTGTAAAGTTCACATACATTATACAATCTGATTGTACAATCTCCTTTAGATCTACCGTCAACTATAGTAAAAGGGCATAAGGCAGAAAAATAAAAATTGATGCCTGTGTATTTAATGGGAACAGTGATCACTGATTGATTGCTCTTCATTTAATATTCATGTACCTAGAATGGGTGGGAGGTAGGAGGGTAGATGATGCAGGGTGTGTGCTAATGATGTCAGCTGGTCAACTCCTTCCTGTGTCATGACCTTATGTCTCTGCAGGAAATAAGGCAGAAGTAATAGAAAAGCTTTTTTGCACATCTATCTGGACACTGACATAAAGGTGGGTAGAAAAAGTGAAAAGCTTTTGAACTTCTGCAAAAGAAGTACATTAATGCTAAATTGGTACATAGGGGAGCTGGAATTTAGAAGAAAAAAAAGGTGAACAAAGATGAACTTTTCCTTTAAAATGGAAGGTATCAGCATGTCCCACTTCCATCACGACTTCCAAAGGAAGGGTTTTGTAGGGGTTTTAGGATAGTAGGTAGAATTGTGCAAATTGTTCCATTATGCTGCTTGGCCAACAGTATAGACAGAACATTGGCTTTATAAATCAGATATAGACTAAAATTATAGAGCCATCTATTCCAAACTGCATGCAGCTATTTCAGGCTTGTTGAGTATCAACAGTGCAGTGCATGGAAACAATAACTAGGTAGTAAGGTTTGGGGAGCAAAGAGAACTTGTACAGGTTCTCTTCTTGCACATGGGGCACTTAGTCCCTGTGGGGGAGATTTACTCAAACTGGTGCACACAGAATATGGTGCAGCTGTGCATAGTAACCAATCGGCTTCCAGATTTTATTGTCAAAGCTTATTTGAACAAGCTTAAGTTAGAAACTGATTGATTACTATGCAAAGCTGCACGAGATTCTGTGTGCACCGGTTTTAGTAAATCTCCCCCTTTGGGTCTAATTGGCCACACTAAAACGCTGGGGAATTGCAGGTGCAGTGTCCAGCCCCACTGCCTACAACCTATCAGAGTCTACGGCAGGCTGAAATATGCTGCTGCTTGATGGGGCTGATCACTGTACTGAGTGGCACTAGTGTTAGCACTTCTCCCTGAAACACGGTATCCGGCATTCGGGGCATATGTCTCTGCTGGAAACCCATATGTCATTCAGTGGAGTTTTTGGTCATTTGAGAAAAGGGGGGGGGGGTTCAAAAGAATATGTATTTCAATCTACCAAATCACAAGTATTGCATTTCTGAAACCTAGAGCTCTGCACATCATATTATGGCCTCCACATAAGTCTTTGATCACCAGCAATGCCGAAATGTGTCACATAATCTGTAGACACTAGGCTCACCCTATAATAGCTATATAATTATAAAGTTATTGTTTATCTGTCAGAGTGCTCTGGTGTTAATATCGGTTCCATTCTGCAAAGGTTTATCCACCTCAGATGCTTATCTTTGTGTTGGTGTAAAATATATCACTTACACAGAGCTGACAGTGTTCCCTTTTGTCCTTTGAAGTGACACTTCAAGCAGCTGTTATACACTTCCATACCAGGAAACTGGAGAATTTCAGAGTTCATGCAGGGTGTGCAGGCCACCTTTCCGAAAGTCAGCAGGAAGGCCTCCAGTTAGGGTGAGTTAAAGTGTTTTTCTCAAGGTATAAATCCTTTACTTCTAAGTTTTCTTAAATCTTTACTCCTGTCAAAATTGAAAAATAAGCCTTGCAATGCATACAGATATCTGAGCCTGCCTGCCTACCTACATGCTCAGCGCTTCAGTTTTTCACCCATGTTTTTTAATAGTATACCCAAATTTATCTGCTATTTCCAAACTTTCTGCTGTAGGGCTCTTTACAGTCTCTCACATGCAGAGGAAGTCACCCAGCACAGACCCTTATTTGATTTGTCAGATTAACAATATAAACAGATATCTGTGTTCTGTGGGGGTCGACATTAAGTGGGTTGCTTAGGTGCCTCACACCACAAAATCTTACTGTGTGAGGTTAGCATACATCCGTGTTTTATCCTAAGCACGTGTAATTTTATTTTGACTGACTCCCTACCTCTGCTAGAAGTTTGTTCCAAACATTAACTTTTTGGTAAAATAATACTTTCTAATGTTAGTTTTGAACTTTCCTCCTGCTAGTTTGACTAGGACCCTCCTGAAGCTTAGTCATAGCTTTGTTTTTAAAGCAACATTGCTTTTAACTTGGAGAAACCCTTGAAATAGCTTTCCATATTCAGGGAACCCAATTCACAGTACATAGTATGATGGTCACTGGAGAAAATGCTCTATACACTTGAAGTCATTGGGAAAAATTCCCCCCTTACAGATAGTAAAGAGATTGCTATCAGCGGCTACTTATCTGAGAGGCAGAAATTGCTTGATGCTCAAGAAACCCCTAGCAACCTTGGGAGGGAGTTCCAGAAGACCCTGATTGAAAGTAGCTTATTTAACCTCACGGTATGATTATGTCCATATTTTTGTGCTGAAAGCGGTGCATTTTTTTGCATGGAAATATGTATTTTTTTTATTGTAGGCCTGTCATTTTTAGGGATAACTCACTGAAAGCTGTCGGAACAAGAGTCTAGTAAACATTCTGGGTAGGATAAAACTTGAAACACGAAATCATAAATTATAATAATTTAATAAATAATCATAAAAAATAATAATATAATAATAATACATTTAATTTAATAATATAATCAAAACCAAAAACACTGAAATTTGAAATATAGCGCCACGTTCGCACATCGCTGAGCAAAGTCACAGAATCGTTTTCAGTGTCTGATGACGAATTTCCCCACGAATCATTATCACTCAATTCTGCAAATGGTCCTGATTTACTATCGCTGTTCTATAGTTGGTCTAAAACCACTTTTGACATAAAGAGATGCTTTTTGGACATCATGGACTTTTCTAAGTTTCCAGGCAGAAAGAACGGTCAAAATGCAGACAGGGCACAGGACAAAGCAGTAGGGACAAAATGTATGTGAAATGGTTTGTACAGTAATATTTTACTATGTCATAATCGTTTATTATAAAATGACAGTTTCTAAAAAATTTTAATTTGCTGCCGGTTCCGGCCCCCGTACGTCCTGTACGTCCCGACGCTCGCATGGACTGGAACACAGAAGCCGGATGCCGGCATCGGCCAGAGGAGATGGCCAGGGACGTGGCAGGGGATGCATCGCAGGAGCGAAGGACAAGGTAAGCGCTGCAGGGAATCCCTGAGCAGCACCACATGGTAAGCCCGAGTGTAGCTCAGGCATACCGCTTTTGGTACTGAAACTTTACCCCGAGCTACTCTCGGGAATACCGCCAGGGAGGTTAAAGGTTTAAGAGCTAGTTTATGGGGAACATGGTGAAAGGATCATTCCATGTGCATTTCCTGCATTGCATTCAAAATGTGCCTGTGCAACCTGCTCCGGGAGTCATATTCCTAGTGACATCCCAAATGCAGATTGCAAACACATTGTATTTGCCTACACCAGATCACCTGATACCACAGTACCCTGTGATTTGAGCGGTTTGTTTTTGAAAAGTAGTGCATTCAACGCTTTTTGTGGTTGGTTCGCATTCCTGTGCGATTCAGTGCAGTGTAATTTTCAGCCCATATTTTCAAGTGGGCTTAAATCTCACTACTTTTCAAAAATGCAACGCACTAAATCTCTTGCTACTGTGGTACCACACAGTCTGGTGCAGGAGGTGTTGTTAAAAATACATTGATACCTGTAGCAGATTGCACAGACAGTGCCTTTCCCACTCCATATTTTGGTGTGAACCAGCCCTGAATGGGCTGAAAATGGTGACACACAGGAATGCAGTTCCTGTGCGGTTCAGCTGTGAACTGGCTCCTAATCATGTGCCCCTTTTCCTTTTTTCTTGAGTTTGTACATATTAGGTGTAGCTTTCAGGCCTTTCTGACATTTTTTAACACAAAATTGAATGTAGACATAATTATTTGTAGTTTACCAGCATCCAAAACAGGAAAAAAAAAAAAAAATCAAGAAAAAAAATTGGCACAAATCTGTTAAGCTGAACTCCAGGGCAAAAAAATGATGCTTGCAGTTGGGCTCCCCAGCACTGCAGAGGTTAAATGCTCTTTTCTCAAGGGAAACTATACTTACCTTGTTTCTCACTTCTCCAGCAAACAGCACTTTTCTTACCTCTCCCAGTCTCTAGATTGCGGGCGAGCCCTTGCTGTCATTACTTACAGTACCATGAAAGACTGCTGCTCCTGTATAGTAGATTTTTGGACAAGAATATTTGTATGAGCATTCGCATGAAAATCCATTGTACATTCTATGACCGAAGAGATGTTTGAACATTTTACTTGCATTTAACATTCAATTTTAGTATGCATGTAGTTCCTGAATGAAAACTGCTTACACTGTCTGAAAATACTTTCGTTTGATGAAAATTTTCCATCCTGCTCTGTTGAATTTTCAATTTGACCCCACTAACAATTAGAAAATCGAATAGACATTCTTAAAATGAAAATTTTTAAACGAAAATCTATGCATGTGTGGCCAGAATAAGTGGAAGCCTGTTTGAGCACAGAATAAGGTAAGTAAAGTTATTGTTTATGCTCCCCCTAAACAAAACAAACATTTAACGCTTGCCCCACTGCAAAGGTTCTGTTTTCCCCTGAGTTCAGCTTTAACGAATACTGGGTCAGACTTTATACCGTGTTCCAAATTATTATGCAAATTATATTTTTCTCATTTACCTAAATAATTGATGTAAATAACAGCATAATTCTCATGTTATCAACTATTAAGAGTACAATTCAAACTTTATTGAACAAACCTCCTAATGATAACAATATTTTTGTTAAACATAAAAAACTTCCAATGCACTGTTCCAAATTATTACACACAGTAAGTTTCAAAACACTTTATAGGTTGTAAAGAATTGAAAATTGTCATTTGTTGTGTTTGCCGCATATTTACTGAAATCGAAAGCTATTTCAGTCAAACTTTTAACAACATTTTAACTTTTTAAACATTTTAACATGTCACGTTACATTGTAACATAGGACCCCTTATTTGATAGCAGCTTCACAAGTCTTACATCCATTGAACTTGTGAGTTTTTGGACAGTTTCTGCTTGAATTTGTTTGAAAGATATCAGAATAGCCTCCCAGAGCTGCTGTTAGGATGTAAACTGCCTCCCACCCTCATAGATCTTTTGCTTGAGGATGCTCCAAAGGTTCTCAATAGGATTGAGGTCAGGGAAGGATGGAGGCCACACCATGACTTTCTCTCCTTTTATCCCCATAACAGCCATTTATGCAGAGGTATTCTTTGCAGCATGAGATGGTGCATTGTCATGCATGAAGATGATTTTATTATGGAAAGCATAGTTCTTCCTTCTGTACCAGGGAAGAAAGTGGTCAGTCATAAACTCCACATACTTTGCAGAGGTCATCGTTACACCTTCAGGGACCATAAAGGGGCCAACCAGCTCTGTTCCCATGAGTCCAGCCTAAAACATGACTCCACCACTGCCTTGCTGACATCGCAGCCTTGTTGGAACTGGGTGGCCGTCCACCAACCATCCACTACTCTATCCATCTGGACCATCCAGGGTTGCACGGCACTCATCAGTGAACAGGACTGTTTGAAAATGAGTCTTCATGTATTTTTTCTGCCCAATGCAGCTGTTTCTGCTTGTGAGCATTGGTTATTGGTGGCCGAATAGAAGGTTTATGCACAGTTGCAAGACTGTGGAGGACTCTACATGTTGATGTCCGTGGGACTCCAGAGGCACCAGCAGCATCAAATATCTGTTTGCTGCTTTGTAATGGTATTGTAGCAGCTGCTCTCTTGATCCGATGCATGGATCTGGCAGAAATCTTCCTCAATGTGCCTTTATCTGCACGAACCCATCTGTGCTCTGAATCAGCCACAAATCTCTTAATAGTGCGATAATCACGCTTAAGTTTTCGTGAAATATCTAATGTTTTCATACCTCGTCCAAGGCATTGAACTATTTCACTCTTTTCGGCAGCAGAGAGATCCTTTTTCTTCCCCGTATTGCTTGAAAATGGTGCTCTGCTTATTAATGTGGAACACCGTCCTTTAGTAGTTTTTCCTTAAATTGGGCTCAACGGCCAATCTAATTATCACAGGTGTCCCAGATTGTTTTCAGTGATCGAAAAAGCCCTGACACACAATGCCATCCATGAGTTAAACTGAAAAACAAAATATTTAATCTTTGTGACACTTAAATAGAATTTGCATAATAATTTGGAACGCGGTGTAGTTGTCTTATTTGAGATGCAATGGGTTCATATTCAGAGGGCAGACATTTATACCTTGGCATAGCTTTTAATATTTTATGATGTTTGTTAACCAATAAACTATGTTTCTTCATGTGTTTTCATGGAAATGAGTTGGCTCTTTTTTTAAGTCTAAGCACGTTAACACAGTTAATTTCTAATTCTTTGAAAATTATCTGATTGTTCCATAATGACAGTCATATGATACACCCAGACATGCTGTACTTTATTCAGAGAAATGTATCCATATTCAGTATTTCCTATTCTGAGGCAACATTCATCATATTTTATGGTGGGGAACGTCATTTCAGGATTTAGTGGCAAGGCATAGTGAAATCATTTTGGATACCACCTATTAATGAGTCATAGCAGCCTTTGTAAAGTTGTAGCTTGTTTTTTTATTCCTTGTCCTGTTTCTTACATGGCTCCAAAGATGCAATGCTGTTAACATTATATAGTTTTCTGAACTTTGTCATAGGCTTGCAATGAACTTTGTCGAAAAAAAGCTGCATAATGTGACCATCTCATATGGCACTTATTGATACCACCAACCTACCTTTTTTCCCCTGGATTGTCTTGTAACTCTTATTCCTTAGACTTATTCCTCATAAATAGACTAAAATATAAATGGGAATAGTGGTGATAAATAGTAAGCGCTCATAAATAATGCAAGCAGCTGAACATATAGGAAAACACATAAAAAGTCCCAAAATACATAAACAGAAGAAATGCAGCGCTCTTAAAATTGATAATGGAATTAGTAGTAAACACAGTCGGGTAAAAAACAACAGTGTTCCTTGTTTCCCAGTGTAAATGGTAGAATTTTGCACTAACCAGAACGCGCATGGATAATGCGCATATGTGTATACCAATCCTGAAGATCCTTTTCTCCACTTAAGGCTGGTCAGGCATATGGCCTAGAAGAATAGAGATCCTACGCCCTCAATTTTCTTTGATCTGCAGATGGACATAAGACAAACAAACAGCTATTTCTTCCAAAAACCAAAAAGAAGAAGACAACTCAAGATTCATTTGACTGATGAGTCAACCCAGTCTCTAGGCTTCGTGCTTCAAGATCAAAGAAAATTGCGGAAGTTCAGGTCTGCTTCTGAAGACTTGGATCATCCCCAAGGGACTGCTTTGCAGCAGTTTAAGACATTGAATTCATAAGCAGGGGATATGTAGAGTGATATGAAGAATTGTGAAAGGAGCTTTTCCATCCTTGTAGCCCTTGGGATTCCTGTGCCAGTTCTTTGTGGAGGCTCATCTGGATCGTCATAGCTTTGACCTGCTGGATCATTTCCCACCACATGAGGGCGTAGGATCTCTATTCTTCTAGGCCATATGCCTGACCAGCCTTAAGTGGAGAAAAGGATCTTCAGGATTTATACACATATGCGCATTATCCATGCGCGTTCTGGTTAGTGCAAAATTCTACCATTTACACTGGGAAACAAGGAACACTGTTGTTTTACCGGGACTGTGTTTACTACTAATTCCATTATCAATTTTAGAGAGCGCTGCATTTCTTCTGTTTTAAAATATAAATGATTGGGCAATTTGAGTGTTCATGAGTATACCTTAAAAGACCTCTTCTGATTGTTGGATCATGTCTGGGCCTGTAGTGGGATCAGTTGAGACCTAGGATATTCTATTGACCTACCTAAGGCACTTCTGATAATTTACTATAACAGGACATTGTGCTCAGGTCAGTCTAGCTACCCTAGATCTCCAAAATTAGCTTCTTTTCTTTGTTGGACCACGGTTCATGTTGTTTTTCTCTATCTCTTATCTATTGACTGCCTTTAGGCTATCCTGGATAGACTCATTTTGGATGGAACCCATAGACCAACATCCAAGGTCCTAGTAATGGGCCTCTTCTTTCCCTGTCATTACATACTTTATTAGTTATGTGAGTGTATCTTAATCTTCCAGCATGAGGCATTCGGTTTTCCTAAAGTGGTTCTAAAGGCATAAGGTTTTTTACCTTAAAAGAGAAGTATAAAATAAACATTTATACTCACCTAGGAAGATGCAGCATCAATCTGATGCTGCATCTGTCCTCCACTGGCTCTGCAGTGAGGACTGGGCAATCAAAACTTGCTGATCACTCAGTTCTCCCTCCCATTCTGAGCAGAGAGCTGTGACTGCCAGTCTTCAACTCTCCGCTCTGGAGTGCTGGGCTGTGGAGGAGACAGAAGGGGCTGGCTCAGGCTGTTGGCGGATCGCTGAGAGGCTGAACCAGGTGCTAATCCAGGCTTCTGGGTGGATGCATATGGTCCATCCATATGGTCGGGATCGTTTCAAAGCCTGGACCGGCTCCTCTTTACTTACCTGACTCCTCTTTCATTCCAACGTTGTTCCTGTCTACATGAGTGCTGTTCTCTCCTTCTTCACACAGAACACAGAAGCAGCAGCAGAAACCATTGGATCCCACTGCTGTCAATCAAATCCTGTGAGGAGGGAGTGGGGGAAAGACCCAAGCTGCGATGTGTGTGTCTTTGGAAACACGCACCCCAGCTCGGGAGTACACCCGAATGAGTACCCCCTCAACCAGCTTTGGGTGTACGGTACTTCAGTCGGCTCTTGAATAGCAAGCAGTTCTGTTTTTTTTATTGATTGTTGGGCCTGTTAGTGTTTGTGTGCTGTGTTGCACACTCCTTATTTGAACTTTGACTCGAAAGTGAAAACATGCTGTATTCTGAGAAAGAAGATTTTTTGTACTCACTGTGAAATCTTTGATTTGGGGAACACATTTTGATCGTTGTCAGAACTGCATGCTACAAAACTGAGGCATGCTGGTGGGGGGGGGGGGGGGGGGGAGTTATTTGGGGCTGGTGTACAGTTTTTTTGTTTGCCAGTGGCCAATCCTCCTAATAGTGTGTGATGAGACCCCTAGCTAACAGATGGGAAGCCTCACATTCGTCATTCATTGCGTGCACTGCCAGTAATACAGTCATGTAATAGAGTGATGTCAGAACTTACAGAATTTCAAAGAAGGCAAATTGTTGGTGCTTGCATAGCTGGTGCCTCTGTGACTGAAGTTGCCAATTTATTTGCGGTGTTGCGAGGTACAGTATCAAAGGTTATGATGGCATATATTTTCCGGGAAAACGTCATCTGATAAGCATAAGTGCGGTTGACATGGTCAACTGACCAAAAGAGACAAAAGGACATTGTGCAGGATTGTGACCCACAATAGGAAAGCAACTGGTGCAAAAGTGACTGCAGAGCTTAATCTCTGTCATCCAAAACCCGTGTCCTTACAAACTGTGCGGAGGAAATTCCATAAGCAAAACATTCATGTGCAAGCTGCAACTGCCAAGTCACTAGTGACCGATACTAATGCTCAGAAGAGGAGAGAGTGGTGCAACACTCATAAATCGTGGATATTGCTCAGTGGAAGACTTTAATATGGTCCGATGAATCGAGCTTCACACTGTTCCCAACCACTGGACATGTTTATGTGTGGCAAACACCATCCTTTTTGCCTTTTACTGTGTTTCCCTATTTTGTATGTGTTTTCACTCTACAGGGATGGCAGGCTGTGGGTCTCTGAGTATACCCTAAACTCTAGGGGGAAGATGTGTAGCTATTAGGTTCCTTCCTCTGTTGATTTGGGGGAATATTCTCAGGAGCGCCCCTGACCTAGTACTTGGTGGTTGGCTTTTGCTGGTCATGAGGAAAGGGAATTGCCAGGCTCTTTGGCTAGGTAGATTAGTGCTCTTCCCCTGTCAGGAGCCTTCCACCCAAGGGGATCAGGAAATAGTCCGTCCTTTTCAGGTGGGGGGGCCAGTGACTCACTCTGTGCACCTATTTGTGTGCATTTCACATGCACTGTATTCGTTTGCTTGGTCTTTAGTTTATTTGCGCACCCATCATAGGCTGAAAAAAAAAAAGCAGTGCGTACTGTAGTGATTTCCAGATTCTTCAGGAATGGCACATGCATACTTGCATCAGTCCATGCTTGAGCCAGTGTAAATATGCAAACAAATAAAAAGCCATATCAAAACACCAGCTATAATTCCCAAACCCTTTAACGCCCTTAAGCCCTAACACTACTTCATTCCTATTCTGCATACTCTTCTTATCCTGCAGCAGGAACCTTTGCGCCAAGAACTTGCAATCCCATGCTGAAGCACTGAGATCCTGGCACCAAAGGAAACTGGATTGCAAGCTGGTGTAAGTCCTTTAGACTTCCTTAGTAGTATACAATAAATCCTTGGGACCTCAGCACAATAAAACTGCTTTTAAACACCAATCTATACTGCTTAAAATATTTCTGTACCTTTGCTACTGCCCTTTATTCAATTCCCACCACCCCTCACCCTGCCAGCTTAAATACTTACCTCCGTTCTAAGAAAGTGGTAAGCGTTTTAGCTACTGTGCTGTACTCAGGGGCATGGGGAGTAATTGAATAAAAGACAGTTGTGCCAACGGTATAGTTGTTCTTTCAAGTAAATCAAATACTCTGCTGTATATAATTTTATTACATGGTACTCTGTAATCTGTACAAACATACCACACTTTATATTTTGTATTTTATGCTATGCTCCTTTCTTTGTTTATTGCAGGGTGCATATTACAGAGGAAAATCCAGCCAGTACTACACTTCACTGAACGATTTTTGAAGACAGTGATGAGATTAGAAAGCCTTACAAGGTAAAATCTTACAGCTGCATTTATGTTTTGTTTTGTTTTGTGTTTTTTACAATTAAAGTTACACAAGGTTAAATATGTGCTTGTACTTTATATAGGGTGGATATCTATACTTTAAAAATAATTGCTAGTGTTTGTCTCACGATAAAGATGAAGTTCTTTTTAAATCTCTTTTTAGTCTTGCAGAAATGGATAAAGACTGAAATAGTTACCTTTCCGGCCTTGAAAAGTTTTTCTGGGCTTCCTTCAGCTTTGGCATTTGAAAAAGTGATATCTATTGAAGAGGAAGATCAGAGTCTAGATCAGCAAATCCTCCTCTTAGCAGAGATCATATGACCAAATGCCTAGACTTTCAGTCACATGATCAGTACTGCAAGGGACTTGAAGCTAAATTCTTGCTAGGAAAGTGTTTTGGTCCTTCATTTACTCATTTATCCACTCTGGAAGCCAATTATATTCACATTTGAATGAAAGACCTCTTTTATTGTGGTTGCCATGGTAAAATGCTAGATTAGAGCTGAATATCAGCCTGATGTACAAGCATCAGTCATGTATAGTAATAATAAAAAAAGTATTGTAATGTATTGACTAGGCCTGACTATTGTGTCTAGCAGGGATGAGTGAATTCAGAGAATAATCAGTCCTTTAGCATGTAAACAGTTTGTGTTTGTATGTACAATATGTGCATATACACTGATCACAATTGAGTAGGTCCCCCTTTTGCTGCCAAAACAACCCAAATACATTACAGCATGGACACCACTAAACCTCTGAAGGTATGCTCTGTGGTATCAGGCATCAATCCGTCAGTTGCAGATCCTTTAAGTCCTGTAAGTTGCGAGGTGGGGTCTCCATGGATCGGACTCATTTTTCCAACACATCCCACAGATGCTAGATTGAGATCTGGAGAATTTGGAGGCCGCGTCAATACCCCAAACTCATTGTTGTGTTCCTCAAGCCATTATTGAATCATTTTTGCAGTGTGGCATGGTGCAATACCCTGCTGAAGGAGGCCACTGCCATCAGAGAATACCGTTTCCATGAAGGAGTGTACTTGGTCAGCAACAATGTTTAGGTAGGTGGTATGTGTCAAAGTAAAATCCACATGAGTAGCAGGACTAAGGTTTCCCAGCAGAAAATTGCTTAGAGCATCACACTGCCTCTGCTGACTTGCCTTCTTCCCATACTGCAGTCTATTGCCATCTTTTCCCCAGGTAAGTGATGCACATACACCTGACCATCCATATGATGTAAAAGAAAACCTGATTCATCAGACCAGGCCACCTTCCATTACTCCGTGGCTCAGTTCTGATACTCATGTGCCCATTGCAGGTTCTTTTGGCTGTGGACACAGGTCAGCATGGGCTCCCTGTGTAGTCTGCAGCTATGCAGCCCTATACACAACAAACTGTGATGCCCAATCAATTATATTCCCTTTACCTGTCACCTGTCAGTGATCTTAATGTTATGGCTGATTGGTGTATACATTAATGTATTTGTTTCTGTTTTTTCCTGGAGTTCATCTTTTATACTTACAATAATTGGCTTTCCAAAGTAAACCTCTGTCCTTTCCTAATAGTTTGTTTTTCACACTATCTATACTCTATCAAATGTATATAACACAGGCCTCTAAAACAGATTCACAGTTTTTCCTTGAAAGTAGGTGGATCTCAATGCCTGCAGTCCTTTCCTATGCTGTAGAACACAGATAGGCCATCTTGCAAAAATAACAGGGTATGACCCATTGGAGTGTTCTGCCTCTCCAAACTAAGCATTGCAAGTGTGATCTCTATAACTGATACAATTGAAATTAGCTGTACTTACAATCTCAGTAGAATTAACAGACAATGACTCAATCCAAATTACATCTTGCAGATTGTACAAAGCTTTCATCCAAAACTTGTGCAGATCATAACAGACGAACATAGGATATGATTTTTTGACCTAGTGTGTCTGGCTCCAGCCGAATACAGCACATGTAATAAATGGAAACTAGAGCATGAAGAAGAAGGGTGGGGCTAACTACATAGAGTATCCTCTAGCTATGGAGTGAGGTAGGGACAAAATGATTAAAGGCAAACAAACAACAATGCATGTGTAACATTATAGGGAGGTTGGAAACAGTTCTGTCTAGCTTACCCTTATAACCTAAGATCAGTTAAAAACAAATCAGCACGAGGAATATTGCTTACAGTAAATGTGATGTGTCTTTTCTGTTGCTGGCTCTTGCTTTAGTTTAAATCTCCAGTCAAATTTGGACTGTGTGTCATTCATGGAAGCCATAGTAGGGCTTCTGTGAATGGAGGAGGGGGAAGAAATGGTGGGCATAGTCGGCACTCTTGATATGTGCATATGAAAAGTCCCTTGGCTATATTAACCCCTGCCCTGCCACTGGGGGGTTGAAGATTTCAACTAAAGCAGGAGCCAGCAGCACAAGGGACATGTCAAATTGAATGTAAGTAACATCTCTGATTTTTTTTTTTTTGACTGAACTTTGGCTTTAAATGCCTAAATATTGACAGTGGTTAACATGTTGGTGCTAGCAAGAAATTTTATAAAAACTTAAAAAAAAAAACTAATCTCCAAGCACCAAAAAAAAAACTATTGATGATATAATAAGTCATTTGTTAGAAATGTAATTCATGTATTTAATGTCTATCATTTTGTGAACTTCCATCCTTACTAAGTCAATTTACTGCCTCATCCCCACCCAGTAGTCGCCACACAGACATTACGTTCACCTGCTTAGACATTTCTCAATGTTCTGCTCAATTTAATACAGAAATGTAATAGCCATTAACATTTTATTTTTTTTATTAGCTGTCATCTGTCCACAATAAATCTGGCATTGAATGGAGTGGGTGATTCATGAATCTTTTACTGGTATAGACCGTCACTACTGTCACATCTTTAGCCAGGAATGGAAAGAAAAGCCAATGTTGCCCCATAAAATGTTAAAAAAACACTCATCTTTAAAGTGCAATGTAGGTAAAAATAAACGTCAAGGGAGATGAGAGAACATCTGTCTGCCATTGGGTGGCACTGTTGTATTAGAGAAAATTGGTTATGCACTGTTGTGCCCTAACCAGCTATACTGTAACATATAATGTAGACATACAATAATAGCCGGTATTTTTTATTTGAATGTTTGTTGTCCGTAGCCTGAACAGTTGTTGAAAAAAAAAGTAATGTTTAAAATGCAATATATTTGTTCCAAAAAAAAAAAAAAAAACAGAACAAGATCACATGTAGGCAGTGATGTGAAAATTACATTTGAGACACCACAGTGTCTCAACCTTAGGGAGAAATCGTAAGTTTATATAAGGCAGTGCATTAATGTGTAAGTTTGAAAAAATAGGCAAATTAACACCCTACACCCTTCCTACCCTACCCACGTTCCCACTGCACTTACCTCCATGGGTGATACAGTTTAACCGCCAACTCAGCATTCCTGTGGTTTTAAAACCATGCTGCTCCTCCTATTCTTTTCCTAGGAATGCCAGGACAGATTAGAGTGGTTCTGATTGGTCAACTCCAGCATATACCTGCACTGACCAATCAGAACCGCAATGATCTGTCCCAGGCTCCCTAGGGAAAGAAGAGGAAGAACAGCAGGAGCGCTACATCGGGCTACGGGAACTGTGAAACGGAATCACCCACATTTTGCATATGGGGTTATCTGCTCCATGTTACTATTCGCAAAGCTAATTCTTTTCTTACTTTGAGGTTTAAGGCCAACTTGCAATGCCTTTTTGTGTTTATGGAGATAAACTACTGCAGAAATTGGCAAAACTAGGCTGACAACTGAGAACGTTCAGTGCTGACATGACCGCATCAGACAGATACAGTGACAGCAAGTTTGTTTCAAAGACTTCAGTACTTTGCACAGCTAGATTTATAGCCAACAAGATACAAACATTTCACACATATCCTATTTCTTCCAAGACCCCTTTTGATAAGCTTGATCAACATGGAACCTGGTGTTCCCACTTGTTAATCTTAACATGGGTCCTTATAAACTAATACCCTTGGGACTTCCTACTGAAATTCTAGGCCTTGGCCTTAATAGATTTGATCTGTGCTGACCATGGATATATGTTACACTGATTTGGAAAATATATTCTGTGCTACACTTATGTTTTTTATTGCCAGCCCACTGTTTTGGTTTAGTTGCTACACAGTCCACTTTTGATATTCACAGTGAGACTTGGCCCATTTTGGTCTTAAAGAGGGATGACACCCTTTTTTGACAGATTTTTGCTCACATCTACAACAGAATTTAAAGGATAAGTTCACCTTTGGAACATGTTACATGTTCCAACCGGTTTTAGGGTGGAACATATAACATGTTTCCATAGCCGCAGCAGTGTCTGTTGCTCCCCCTCCCTCTGATAGATAGTATGGGGAGAAGTTTCCCCGTACGAGCTGTTAGGTTTGAAAACAGCATGGCTGTGCGGGGCTCCACCCACACGGCCACATCACTCATTCCCAGAGTTCTGTGACTGAGTGCCTACGGGTCCCAGCAGCCTTAAAGGCTGTTGGCTTGTAGCTCTCACTGAACTAGCACAGCTTTGTGAAGCACCGTGGTAGTTCATTCCAGCTTCCTGTCAGAATATCTGCTTGACTGTACATCCTGTACAGCAATCATATATTCAGACAGGTCTGCAGGAGACCTGCATGGCATCAGCCATCTACTGATCGCTGGTTCAATGCTCTCCAGGATCCTGTGAACAAAAATATAAAGTGCTCATTTTTTTTTTACTGGCAAAAAACATCTGCATTTATTATTTTTGTCCAAAAGGTGAACTTATCCATTAACTCATGTCTGTTAGAGTCTAGCACCACACTTAGTGTCGGGAAACTTCCTTCCAAAAAATCACTTTAAGTAGTTTGTATACTAGAATTTCTAGCCATTCAGAATATCTTATTGCTCAGGCAGTAGGAGACTTAAGCAAATCAGACTCACACTAGTCCTAGTATTATAGTGAGATTTCACTATCTCTTCTCTCCAATCAGGGACCTACATCATATTGCTTTTCAAGAACACTTTACTGTAGAGCCTTGTTCACATGGGCTTCAGCCTGCACGAGAGCGGTGTGAACACCAAGATTTGTGAAGCTGTCAGCAAGCTTCAAGCAACATTCTTTAAAGCACCCTTCAGCTCCAATTAGGAATGTTAATGACAGGTCTTAATGGGAGTGCTAACTGTCACTTTAAGCAAGCTGCAAGCAGGCTCTCCACAAGCTTCACGTTGTTCTGAAGCCTGCTGGCTGCTTGTTTAAAATGACAGTCAGTATTCCCATTACGATCTGGGATTAATATTCCTAATTGGTGCTGAATGTTACTTCAAGAAAGCTCTGCAAATGCTTGTAAAGCTTGCTGTTCACAGTGCTCTTAGGGCTTGTTTACACTTGTGATTGTTTGTGTGTGATTGGGGCATTAAAACCCTGCAGTTGAATTATGGTTTTACTGACCCTAGTGAGCCTTGTAGAGGCAGCAGTAGGGGGTGTACACATACTGTGACCATGATGCTTTGCAGCAGGACTTATACCCACCCCTCAACACAGAAAACACATGTAGTTGAGGCACTGTTGTCCGCTATTTAGGGGATTAACACAGGCGGTGAGGAGGACATACAAAGCTTCCTTGCTGCCTGGAAAATGCAAAGCAAGTGTGAATGTGCCTTTACACCAGCTGAAACCTGTGTGAACCAGGCCTAAAGATGACCATACAGTGTACAATCTCCTTTAGATCTACATTCCACTATGTAGTACAAGAGCCTGTCTGATTTGGATGTAAATTTAAAGTATTGTTTTGGCTTGGCCTCGTATTACATTGGTAAATCTAAAGGAGATTGGATAGAAATTGTATTTTCAGATTGTGTAGAGTATGGCCAATCTGTAGAGTTTTTTTAAGGCATGAATTTAAAGCTTTTAGCAAAAAAATGTCAAGCAAAATCCAGTAGATTACAGCCATGGGTTATCAATGTATTTTACCTAATCATTACGGCTGTAAATATCAGAAATACGCATCATAATTATGGTATCAAAATATTTTATTGTAAAAGGGTAATACAAATTATGATCTATTTTAGGGCTTTGGCCACATGAAGTATTAGCCATTTTAGTTCCCTGCAGTGTTAGCGCATTGGGTGCTAGTATTGCCTGGTACTACAACACATAATTCTGAGTGGGCCCTGATGCATAGCTGAACAATACAAAGCAGCATGCTTACATAGTAAAGCACACACAGACAACATAGTAAAACAGCACAGTGCACACAGTTAACCCTTTGATTGCCCCATATATTAACCCCTTCCTGCCCAGTGTCATTAGTACAGTGTCAGTGCTTTTTATTAGCACTGATCACTGTATTGGTGTCACTGGGGATGTCAGTTTGTCAGTTCCCCCCAGTGTCAGAATGCCTGCCGCAGTCACGCTATAAGTCGCTGATCGCCGCCATTACTAATATAAATTTTAAAAAAAATTTCAGTATATATACCGCCATTTTTAGACACTATAACTTTCACGTAAACCAATTAATTTACACATATTGGGATTTTGTTTTAGCAAAGACATGTAGCAGAATACATTTTGGCCTAAATGTGTGCCAAAATTAAATTTTTTTATTTTTTTTACCGGATATATTTTATAGCAAAAAGTAAAAGACCGCAGAGGCAATTAAATCCCACCAAAAGAAAGCTCCATTTGTGGGAAAAAAGGACATAAATTTCATTTGGCATGACCATGCAATGGTCAGTTAAAGTAACACAGCGCTGTATCACAAAAAATGGCCTGGTCAGGAAGGGGGGTGAATCCTCTGAAGGGCAAGTGGTTAACTAGGTATTAGGACTAATTCACACTATAAGCAGTGACAGACATTTTACTGCATTGTAAAAAGTCTGTCCCCGTGAGGACACACAGGAGACAATTGTTTCCTATGTGTCCCATTCACACTGCAACATAGCATATGGCTGCAATAAATGCAGACATGCTTTATTTTATCGCAGCGCACTGTGCCGAATCATACAGAAATGTACAGCAAAGCAGCGCGATGTGCTGCAGTACATTGACATGAATGAAGTGCACGTTTTGTACGCTTCAAATAAAGTTTGTATATGCAGCTTGTAGTGTCATAGCTGATCGATTTTCCTGTGTCTATGTATTCAGTCACCATTCACTATGGGCACAGACAGCATCTTGTTTTGGATCACACAGGGGAGATTTACTAAAGCTGGTTCACTCAGACTCTTGTGCACCTGTGCATGGTAGCCAGCCTTGTAACCTCAGCCTGTTTAATTAAACTTTAGCAATAAAACCTGTAAGCTGATTCTGAGTGAACCAGCTTTAGTAAATAAACCCCACAGTGTCATTCCTATGCTTCACCATTTCCTCTGTTTCATCACAATGTGTGAGTGCTGATGTGGTGAAAACACATTTATCCCAGCATAGTGAGTTCTCTGGTAATTGACCTGCCTATTTGTGGTTATGTCAGATTTAATTACTACTTAGCTCTCACCTGCACCAGTGCTAGATTGAGAGACCCAGAGATTGTGGGATATATAGGTTTTTTTTTGAAGGAAATGTTATTGTAGTCATGTATTATTTTACTAAAAATGTACTTGATGCTTGGATAGACTTCAAGCATAGGTGGTGAGTCAGTCAATAGTAAATGGATTCAAACATGCTCAGAACAAGCAGGTCTCATAGATACTCTGGCAAAAAAAGTTGAAAAACAACCAAACAAATACACACTCAGCGGGCACTCTTTTAGGTACACCTGTTCAACTGCTTGGTTACAATTATTTGATCAGCAACTGCATTTAGGCATCTATTATAATTATTTGATCCCCTGCAGATTTTGTAAGTTTGCTCACTTACAAATAAATGAAGGGTCTATCATTTTATCATAGGTGTATTTTATCATAGAGACAGAATACCAACCAAACATCCAGGAAAAAACATGATACAAATGTTATAAATTGAGTTGCAGCTTAGTGAGTAAAATAAGTATTTAATCCCCATGAAAAACATGACTTAGTTCTTGGTGAAGAAACCCTTGTTGACAAGTACACAGGTATGGTGTTTCTTGTAGTTGGTTACAGGTTTGTACACATCTCAGGAGGGATTTTGGTCCACTCTTCTTTACAAATCTTCTCTAAAATGCTTAAGGTTCCTTGGCTGTCGCTTGGCAACTCAAAGTTTCAGCTCCTTACATAAATTTTCTATAGACTAGCTAGGCCATTCCATGACCTTAATGTGCTTCTTCTTGAGCCACTCCTTTGTTGCCTTGGTGTTATGTTTTGGGTCATTGTCATGCTGGAAGACCCATCCACAACCCATCTTCAGTGTTCTGGGGTCCCCCACTAGCACTTCTGGCTTCTGCCTTCAGATTGCCCCCATAGCTAGCCTCAAGTACACTATAGAGTGCCCCTATAGCAAAGTAAAAAAAAAAAACACATTGCTCCCACACTTTCACATTCACAAGTTCTCAGGCACATATTGACATGTATGTACTGTGTACTGAGCTGTATGTGTGTTGTGCTGTATATAGACATGTATGAGCAGTGTACTGAGCTGCATGTGTGTTGCACTGTATTTTCTGATATGTAAACAAGTAATGCATTCTTCATGCAGGCAGACTAATCAGCTGACCAATGAATTGCTAATGAAAATAGTTGACAACTTTTGTACACTTTATCATAGTATTACTATCCAGGTTAGGACCAGTAAATTATGTGTGAAAGAGGTTATCTTAGGGAGGTTTATTGCTTTTAGCACGAGAGGTATCTACAGGTTACAGTGATGGAAATCTACCTCTGCCAGGATCACGAGACTAAAGATTAAAATCCCCTTTACCTGTAAAAAACATACTTTTCCACCTACCTGAAGTATCTCTCATTCCATATCTGACCTTGCTGCTAAATGTTGTGTACAAACACACATAGTTTATATGAGTGCTTCAGTTACCACCTGCAGAGCTGATCAGCATTTCACCATTTGGCTGCCAGCTGGGTTTGCTTATTTTGCCACTGTGCCCCCTTATTACATTAAAATAGACATGCAAGACTGTACTATGAATCAGTATCTCATACTAGCTGGATAATATTTCACTCATGCATTCTGTCATTTCTCTCCACAGGGATGGGGAAACCCAACTGCAAGAATATAATGTTCTTCCCAGGATTTCATAGAGAGTGTGCTGCAAAAAAGGACCTCTAGATTTAGATATGTGACATTCAAGAGCACTGGCATTGCAAGCTCAATAGTCTTGATAAAAGAAAATAACTATTTTTTGGTAGTGGAATGCTGCACAACTTTTTTACGGTTTTCACATTTTTGTAAAGACAGTGTTGGGATGGAAGATAATTAGTTTCCCTGTTACTTTTTTGCAGGAAAAAAAAAACATATGCAAAGCAGTAAAACGATGTTTTTCACGCAGAAATCACCCCTTTTTTGGGAGAGTCCTATTTATTGTGCATATTCCTCAATAAGAGCATGTTTTTTGTTTGATTTTCTCCATACAGTTTGTTTTTCTTTGTTTGTTAGTTGTAAAATTATGTTTCATGGTTTGTGTATTATTAATGTTAATAAAGTGCCTGAATTGTTTGATGCTGACTCGGTTCTGTGCTTTAATATTTAGATGGGCATAGGTGTATGTCTTTGTGTTGTCTAGAACAAACAGGTATTAATGCAAACAAGCAGGCTGCACACCTAGGATGCCATTTAGATCCTACTAGGTTTGTTTGACAGACACCTAGGGCCACCTTGCTAAAGTGTTTCACCCATCCATGGCTTAGTGGAAGATATCTACGACTAAGCCCTGGATGGGTGTAATACGGTAGAAAGGTAGCCCTAGGTGAAACGATGCAGCGTGTGCTGTCTGACAAACTAAGTCAGATCAAAATGACATTGTAGATGTGCATCCCATTTGTTTGCATGGAAGTGCCGTACAGAGTAGGAGCGGGCTCTTGGGCTTAGGCACCAGGGCAAAAGGCAGCAGTGAGGTGTGCAATGGTCGTCTAATAGTCCGGTGTTTAACTTTCATTTTTTTATCTTTATTAAACAATTGTCAGCTGGAATCATGTTCCTAGGGTCATATACACACTTCTAGCCGTTGACACCATCATTTTGTGGTAAAGTGCAGTAAACTGTGCCTGTTACCATAATGCTATAAGCAGAGTATGCTCTTCCGATGTACATTATGATGTGCTTTGTGATGGACTACAATAAACAATTGCAGCAGTAATGCAGAGTGCCACAATACACAATAAACCACGTTGCGGCACATTTGCTAATCCAATGCACCTCAGTGGGAATGAACCCTTGAAGTAGATCTAAAAAAATCACTAATATCTCATATAAATTTAACATGTTAATGTAAATTCGAAAGTGGTTTTTGCTACATTTAAATCTGAAGATTTAATTAAAATAATACTTGGTGTTCCTGCCATGAAGGTCCTTGTTCAGGCATTTACTGTTATTCGGTAACAAAAATTTCCTTTGTATTCTTGTTCCAGTGACCATTCGAAATTTTGAATTTTTCCTCAATTTTAGTCCTGTGACATCAGTCCTCAATGCTCTTATTTCTGAAAAAGAAGACCTAGAAGATCTTCCCAACAACTGCTTTTTTAGGCCACCATTTTTCTAAAACTCCTTAAATGAGGTTGGGTTGTTATTGTGGCAGACACACTGATTGTTTGCTCAGGCAGTGGCAGCCAATCCATGCCTCTGACTTTAATGGTGCCTGTCCCTGACTATAGCAAATAAACAGAAGCAGGTCATACTCAAAGAAAGCCCTCCTCAGCAAACATGTATTTCAGAGTTTCTACTTTTGTTTGTTGGATGAGAGCAGTGGACCTTATTCTGAACATCAGTCAAATATCAAAAATACAAATTAATGCTGCTCGGTATTTATATACATTTTTAATGCAAGCAGTAACTAGCACACCTTAATTGAGCACGGTACCAACCTCTTGCAATCCCTACAGCAGAGCTTAGACTAGGGGAGAGGGAAGCAGCACAAGTTGCTGGTTAGCTGTGCTGCATTGCTCATATTGTAATAATGGAAAAGTTGATTGTAAGAGACGGCAGAGTGACACAGAACAGTGGTGTACCCAACATATCACGCACCCAGGATGGATCTATTTTTTCCCATTCATTAGTATTATTTTCAGTAATAATCATGAACTTGAACATCATGCGTGCTGGGGGGAGGGGGGGGGGGAGAGTGGATTTGCCATTGGAGGGTGGCTGTAAGGGATGCAGAGAGACTAACCTTAGCATATGAATACATCTACCATGCAGGAGCTCAGAGATTCTATCTCCTGCATAGTTTCCAACATTTAAAAATAATTAAGAGGATTGCCTTGAAGGGCTCATTCACAGGGGCATCTAAAAGGCTGCTTTTAGATGCATGCAGTGTAAGGTTTGCACAATTCTAAACACAGCAAAATAGGAATCAATTTGACCATGTACATGCCTGTGTCTGCAAACCTTAGGACTGGCTTTGTTTATCATACCATATCATTTTTTTTTTTCAACAAAGCAAAGTATTTTTTTAAAACTTTTAATATTTTTTTTAAAACAAGCCTTAATTATTTTTTACATTTTTGGAAAGGGGGGGGGACTGAGATACATGTACAGGGAGCCTGAGCAGATTGTTATTTTCCTCATCAGGGAGGATTCCATGTCTCCTAGGGTGGCTGTTGTCCCTAGAAGATAGCCAGAGACAAGAGATTGCTGCATGGGTTGGAGGCCTCAAAAATATTGCCAAAGAAGTACCCTTGCTGAAGGGCACTGTTTCATGAGTCCTGGACTGAAAAAGGGATCCTTATTTCTTTTATGGAGGATTTTCCTGAGGATGATGGGTGGCAGACAGTTCTTGGGACACTGTGAGAAGTCTTTACTGGGATTGATAGTTGGGAAAGTTCCAGAGGGGAACCAGTTGCCAGAGGTTGCTTCATAGATTGCTGTTGATTGCTGTTGCAGGGCAGTCAGTATAATAGCCATACCTTGCCACCCCCAGAAAAACTGTTCTTGGGAAAATTAGTGGTAAGTTTGTCCTTCTACTTGTGATCACTGATTGTTTTGGAGTATCATGTACGCTAAACCCCTCTCCTGTTTATGTTATTCAGCAATGAACCCTAAAAATACATCCTCTAGACTGAGTTTTAATTGTTGTTGTGTGTGGGACTGTGTTTGGGTGGCCGGCAGCCTCTATACTGTTCTGGAGAGCCTGTCTTCAGCAGCCCCTTTGGGGGTGAACGCTACATTCATGCTCCTCATAAACCGGTCAAAATTTTCTCAGTGGGTTGTCCTATCACTATCTTCCTGCCGACATTCTTTGATTGAAAAACCAATGGTGCCAGACAGAAAAGTGTAAGACAAACAGTGGCTGTATCCAATCAGTTGCCGTCGTTATTTGGATATTCTGAAAGCTGCCTGTGTTGGCTGTCCAAATACATTAGCTGCAGTGGGAGATTAATCAATCTTGTTCCATTTTATTTACGTTAGTCTGAAGACTTAAGTCAGTTTAAGTAGATCAAAACACACTTATTTTTCCCTTAGTGATGTAAATCTTTTCCTCCTCTTCTTTCTTCTACCCTTGAACCTTTAACACTGGTATCCACTCAGCATAGGAATATATAAAATGCTCAAATCATAAAATCCTTTTTAAAACTGTTTCTTTAAATAAAATAAAGTCACATGTATCAGTGCTATAACAGCACCATATACACAACTTGTTAATGGCAGCTGCCTCAAAGTATTGGGGCAGATTCGCAGATAGTTTTGGGTAGATGTGATGATGTCACAGACTCCTTCCACTGAACGCAATTTGCTAAAGATTGACTTCCTCAGAAGTGGCACCGTGTTAGGATCTGCCAGTCTACTGCTTGAGCTATTTGTAGAATTTGACCAAATAAGTAAGAATGGACTTTGTAACCTGCAAAAGTACGTCTATTTTCTCAAAAGTCATAAGGAAACATTTTTTCATGCAACTTCTGTTTTTTTCTATACTCTTTATCATATTAGCTCCCTAGCACAAATTTACAGGCTCTTCTATGTATAGCTATTATTTGTAAAAAGAAGAAGAGGCAGCTTCCCCTTCCATTACTAACAAGATTTTACAGAAAATGTATGAGCTGTCCAGAATGCTTTTGACGTGGGATAAGGGATTTAGCTAATGTGCCCACACTAAGGGTAATATTTAAAAAGTAGTGAAAATTAAGATTCAACTGCAGTAAATATATGGTGAATGTAAAGTCCGAATAGACACTTCACTCCTCATAATACTTGACCTTCATAAGACTGGTGGGTGCTCAACGTGATTGCTACAGATGCTGAAAAGCCAGAACCGGATAAGAAAGCACAGCATCATCAGCATTCAAAATGTGCAAAGTCATAAGAAACCAATGCTTCTGGGCCTTACAGGGTTCCTTCCTCAAGGTGGCAAAGTGACAAAAAGTGTTAAGGCAACACACCTTGGAAGGTGAGGCAAGCTAACTTGAGGCACAGAGTCTAAACACCAGCTATTCTTCACTGAAGTCCCCAATAGTGGAGATGGGCTGGGTGCCCTAGTGGCTCCCAGAGCGCTTTGCTTTGGGCTAGTACCAGGTTGAGGCCTTCAAGATCACCCTTCTGAGGGGTGAATGAGGACAGGGAGGCTATGGTGTGGGGACTGTATATAAAACGTTACACAAAGGAGTAGTCATATCCAAGCAGAAGCCATGGGCAGGTGGCAGGCAAAAGAGTGGTCAGAGGGGCATGGTCTGGACATGGCGCTATAAGCACGCTTCCGTTGGAGCTCTGCAGGGATCGGGGTGCCAGACAGCCAGTCTAGCCATTTTCATCAGTGGTTCTCTATGCCCAAGAGTGGAAACACTCAGCAACAGCTGGGGAATGCAAGGAACCCAGGATATCTTCCTATTTTTTGTGGCAAGCACTGGATTCTTGTCCCGGTGCCCAATCCAAGATGACGCCGATCCGGACCAGCACCTCGGGGCCCACGCCAGATAAGAAATCTAAGCCAGCAGCCTTACATCCCATGGAGGACCCTTTGCCCTATGAGTCTCCCTGTATGACGGTGGGTTGGGGGAGTTCTCTGGGAGCTGTGCCGGGCTGGGATCTGGCTTTGGCTCCTCACCTCCTACCTCTCCCAAGTCCCCTGTT